CCTCCCCTTCCCACACCTACCCACCGCCACCCTCTAAGAATTATAAATAATGGCATTACGTCAAGTCGGCGAAGCCAAAGGATTAACGCAGCGCTGGCAATTCGATTTACCGTGTAATAGGCGGACCGGAGTGCGCGCATTTTCTGCGCAATCATGGCGATACTCGCCTTTTCGGGATTCCCATTTGGCGACGTCGTTCCTCCCGGACAGTTTCTTGGAAAACAGTCTCAGGTACTCGAGAGGACAATCGTCCTGCGACTGCGAAAATCACTCTGACGTATTTTCCCATGGCGTGACTAATGCCAAGATAAATGACGTGACGACGATGAGGCGCAAATCGTTTGGGATCGATCAAACGCGATCGGTCATTTCCCCCTCGACTTATTTTGCCTCTCGCCTACTGAAAATTGTCATAGAGTAAAGTTCATTTTACCGCAGTTGGAATGTCCGGTAATGCGTTGCGATCGGCAAATTTGATATATTTGAGTAGGTATAATGCGCGCATAAGCCCTTCCTTCCTTCCTCCCTACGTATAAACGCATTTAATATTCATGAATAATAAGCAATATTGAATGTTTAATAAAAGTGATGTTAAAGATCTAGACATTAGTGTTAAGTCCCAGGAACTTAAATTTTTTTTTATACCGAGTTCGTTATTACACCGGGTGTCTTTTACTTTTTAAAGTAGGCGTAACTTCATTATTTTTTAAAGACAGTTTTAAATTACTTCAAGAGTGACACTATATCTTACACGTACAGAAATTACTTTAGACAACCAATAATTTACTCAAATTGGAAAGGTTGTTCGATTGATTTAATAAGCCAATTTTATTTTTTGTTGAATTATGTATCGACATTTTTGTAATTAGTTCATCATTCTTCCAAGATCTTATTAATTATTTCTTACTTGGCAGACATTCTTGGTTGACAACAAAATGTTAATAAGTCATTAACTGCTAATTTAATTGGGTGTTATAAAATACATTATTATAAGTACAAATACATACATCTATGTTGTGATGATAATAATTAATAATTTTTTCTTTTCTTTTTTTTCATATACCGACCCATTGCACCTTACACAATGCATGTGAAACAATGTTTAATTTTTATTTCTCAACATAACTTGCACTACCTCACTAAATTGGAAGCGTTTGTAATCTAACTATAGCTTATACGTTTTAGAATATTTCCGGTATACACACATACATATACATATGCGTATATATATATATATATATATATATATATATATATATATATATATATATATATATAAAAAAAAAAACAAAACAAAAAAAAACAAAACAAAACAAAACAAAACAAAACGAAACAAAACAAAACAAAACAAAAAATAAAAGTATTAGTTTTACATTTTTATATTATTCTAATAATGCAGAATGCAGAGTCTTCGCAAATGATATTAACGGTGTTACGTTGATGCTACCTTGACTGCTTCGTACTCAACGTACCGAGCAACAACGACACGAGTATCGATTAATACTTCACAAACGAAACAATGCGATTCTATTATTCAATTGCAGGATGTATTACGCTTTTGTAACCAAAGAATTCTCGGGGCTATCCTATGCGCGTATTCTTGTTAAATCAGAAAAGACGTGACGCATCCGCCTGAGGAAACGGCGACTTCATTAATAATCTCTCGAAGAAAGCGTAGAAGAATCGGGACGACACTTCTATTTAATAAAGCTGGCAACGGAAAGTTACGTGCGCGTAACCGAAAAGCGCGCGTATTCGACGCGACGGTACACGGACTCGAGCCCCAACCAACGAAAAATCCACGACTTCATCGTCGGTGCTCCTCTTTGGCTACCGAGGCTAGGGTGAGAGCGAAGGGAAATAAAAGGAAGGACCTGGCAGCCACCCCTTAAGGTGACACGAGCACCGACGTTACGTTACGCTCGGCTTCTCTTGAACATCGAGTCGAATCGCTGAATGGAGCTCGAGTCCTGATACGCACGATCTTCACGCTGCCAACACTTCCATGAGCGCGGAGAAGAAGAATTATGGCCGGAGAGGAGGTTCGTTGGGCGATGCGCGCGGTATTTACGTGAGCGAGCGAAATATTCCATGCCGTTAGTGAGAGCGATGTGTGCCAAGGTACGTGAAGTGCCATCGTCACAATGCCAGGCACTTGTGAGATATTGGGATATTCGTCGATAATCGAGTGGGTCTTTTCAGAAGCTTCGATAATCCAAGAATGGCGATTTTCCATGTCTAATTGTCGAACCTTCCTAGATCTACGATTATTGTCACTTTTGACGCGCGATCGGCAATTACGTAAACTGAAAATATCTAGATGTCATGATGCACGGTTAATATGAATATGGTAAAATTGTATCGCCCGAAATTGCAATAACGCGGACATCGATGCCTATAGTTTTTTCAAACTAATCGTCTTGTTGGATCAATGGAAATTTGTTAGCTCATCGTCAACATCGCGCTTAGCCAGTGTGTGATTGGCGAGACGAACATGTGCATTCGGCGGAGTGCAAAAAAAAAAGAAACATCGGCAGTGATAATCGAACGTGTCCGATCGGTAGTCGTGAATCTGTCTACCAAAGTATAAGTCCTTTTTTTTGTTTTTGTTGTTGGTGGTGGTGGTGGTGGTGGTGGTGGTGTTGTTGTTGTTGTTGGTGGTGGTGTTGTTGTTGTTGTTGTTGGTGGTGGTGTTGTTGTTGTTGTTGTTGGTGGTGGTGTTGTTGTTGTTGTTGTTGGTGGTGGTGTTGTTGTTGTTGTTGTTGGTGGTGGTGTTGTTGTTGTTGTTGTTGGTGGTGGTGTTGTTGTTGTTGTTGTTGGTGGTGGTGTTGTTGTTGTTGTTGTTGGTGGTGGTGTTGTTGTTGTTGTTGTTGGTGGTGGTGTTGTTGTTGTTGTTGTTGGTGGTGGTGTTGTTGTTGTTGTTGTTGGTGGTGGTGTTGTTGTTGTTGTTGTTGGTGGTGGTGGTGGTGGAGGTGGTGTTTACGCTATCGCGTTACATCATTTTGGTGGTGGTGGTGGTGGTGGTGGTGTTGTTGTTGTTGTTGTTGGTGGTGGTGCTGGAGGTGGTGTTTACGCTATCGCGTTACTTGTGATTTTCAGGTATCATTTTGGTGGTGGTGGTGGTGGAGGTGGTGTTTACGCTATCGCGTTACTTGTGATTTTCAGGTATCATTTTGGTGGTGGTGGTGGTGGAGGTGGTGTTTACGCTATCGCGTTACTTGTGATTTTCAGGTATCATTTTGGTGGTGGTGGTGGTGGAGGTGGTGTTTACGCTATCGCGTTACTTGTGATTTTCAGGTGTCATTTTGGTGGTGGTGTTGTTGTTGTTGTTGGTGGTGGTGCTGGAGGTGGTGTTTACGCTATCGCGTTACTTGTGATTTTCAGGCAAAAACTTTTTTAGGAATAAAATGTGTCGCGGGACTTGCATTGATAAACTCGATAGTTAATGGAACTTGGACGGAGTGCACTGGCCACTCGCATATATAATTACCGAAATGTTAATATTACTGAAGCCGATGTCTTCCATGTACATACACATGTAAAAGGCTTATAGGAATAATTATAAAATCTCCAAAGCCGAATCGATGTTTAAGAAATATACTCGCTATCGATCAACTTCTTCCGTGTTTTTGAATTTAGTAGCAAATCAACTTTGAACGACTGACATTTAGACTGATATATGGACTGCTGTAAATTTACTATTAATTAATGTTAAAAAGTAAAGAGTCACGTATGCTCAATCTCATGAAAAAATGACTTACTTATTCGTAAGAATGTCGAGTTTCATTATCCAATGGGCGACTCTGTATCATAGTATAATGAGAAATTTCGCCGAGATTGCGTAAATTAATATCGATGAAAATGAACATTAAAGAAATCTAATATGACAAGTTCAATACGAAGGCGAATTAATTGTTTAGAGGACAGACATAAGGTGATATTTTGTTTCTGTTTAATTCTGATTGAAAATGAAAGAAAGAGTTGTCTCGTTGTATTAAGTGAACTATCATGGATACGATCTTAAAAATAATTCAATACTATATTCTACACGATACATCTTCGTAAAATATAATCTTTGTGTGAATCACATAATTTTTGTGTTTGTTTGTTTGTTTGTTTGTTTGTTTCGTTAAAAATTGTAAAAGCCATTTGGAGTTTGGATAATGGACTTTGCAAAATAGGATTTTGTAAAAGACTAGTAGTAGAACTAATGAAAATCAAGCGTTTAGGAATAAATGTTTGTTATATTTCTGGCCCATCAAAATCCTTTCTAACGTGGGGGACAAAGACTTTGCTGGAAAATCCTCGCATGCGACAAAGAATAACGTCGCCGCGGAGATAAAATTTAAAAAAAAACGACAAAAAAATAATCAGAAGTACGTGGAGCGAGGCCGATAAATTCTTTCAAACAAACGACCCATCGATGCTATAATAAAAGACGGAAGATCGAGGAGCGGCGGAGGTGCGCAGGAGTGTGACACTGACGGGGAAATACCCTTGGCTATGCACACACAGAGAAGAGCTAAGCGCTGAAAGAAACGCGATCCTTTAAGAAATGGGTACACATATATCGGCATGACGCGATCAATTTTGAACAATGCCACTGAGCTCACAGAGCTCACTCACTCTCCTCCCATTTTAACTCCCCTCCAACAATACCCTCCCCCAAAACCCCTCCCCTACCCCATTCGCTCGCTTACTCTCTCTCTCTCTCATTCTCTCTCTAGATTTCCAAATCGGTAAATAAATCTCGATATCTGGTGTCTTGCGTCTCTCCCCCCCCCCTGTCACACACGCACGTGAAAGGGAGAATATTCGTTGGAGGGGGAGGGGGTGGACGCTGCTGCGTTCACCGCCTCACAGCCTCCCCCTCCCTCTTCCGTCGTTCTTATTTCTTTTCTTTCACGAAGAAGGAGACGGGCGGTGGGGGAGGGAGAGACGAAGCGGGCCCGGTGATTTCTTGCGCGCGACGGCGATGACGACGGCGACTACGACAACGACGACGACGACGACCGTGAGGGAGAATGTAAGGCAAAGGACGGAGGGAGGGCCACGCTGAATGGCGAGAGCAAAGTGATTTCTTGCGCGCGACTGAGAATAAAGAAAGAGTATCGAGGGAGTCGGAAAGATTCTTTTATAGGGAGCCGCGGACAGGAGGTAAGAAGGATGGATGATGCAGGGGAGGAGAGATCGCGACGCAGAATGATGTTGTACTTACGCGATGTACGACGCGTGCCGAGGTGACTTCTAAGGTGGCGGGGAGACTCCGGGGCCTGGTCCCCCTTGTCGCTGGATTGTTCTTCCTAATGAAATATCTCTTCGGCTGATTTCGGATATTTCGAAAGGACCGAGGCCCTTTTCTCCATCTCACCGAGGGTGAACGTCTCGATGGACGGAGATGCGAAAGGGATTTCCGACGACTATTTTATGTTACTTTCGAGTGAAGCTACAATCCACGGAAATGCTAATACTCTTATTCCTGCCGATTCGATTTTTTTTTCTCTTCCCTGTACGTCAAGGGAAGGGCATACACGGCTTAATATTGATTTTATCCAGGTCTAAGATCGCTATTGTTGTTTAAAATCCCCCTCCACAATATAAAATGGCTCACGGAAACGACATAACAAATAGTATAATGCACCGATGGAGCTTAAAAAAAAAAAAACTGATTATAGGACAACTGCTCGTCAGATAATGAAGAAAATTAATCATTCTGACGTGTAAAGTGCAAAGCAAAAGGTTTTATTGTCTGCCCTGTATCGAAATATTAATTTCATGAGATGGAAAAATAAATGCTCAACGATATTCGTCACTTTCAGTAAATGAAAACTATCGACGACTACAAGCAAAAATACCTTGTACAAATATGAAATATTGTAAACTTTGCTTTAATAGCGGCCTCGATCGATACAAAATAATAATCAAATTTTAAAGATAAATTAAACAAGGGAAGTCCGTGAAGATGTTTTATATTTTAAAGATGCATGCTGCGATTTTTAAGCTTCTATAAAACATTGTATAAGATTCATGGATATTGATTATGTCCGTCCAGAATTGAATACGCGGCTATTTATAATATCCCAACAATCGATCAAAAAAAAAAGGAAAAAAAAAGAAGAAAAAAAGCAGAAAAAAAAAACAAAAAACAATCAAACAAACAAAAAAAAAAAAAAACAAAAAAAAAACACCAACAAAACAAAACAAAAAAAAAATAATAAGTTGAAAAGAGAGAAAGAAGAAAAGTAAAAATGCACGCCTGTATAACAAATCGAATTACTTAGCCTTCGACGAGCCTTAAGCTTAATAAATTTATCAAGCGACAAATGCATTTTACCTGCAACATTATAAAGAGAGTTCGTGCTGCTCAATAGTATAAGAGTAAAAAAGTCCTTTCAGCCGAACAAGAAGACGAAAAGAAGAGGAAAAAAGAAGGAGAGGAAGAAGATGGAGAAGAAGATGGAGAAGAAGAAGAAGAAGAAGAAGAAGAAGAAGAAGAAGAAGAAGAAGAAGAAGAAGAAGAAGAAGAAGAAGAAGAAGAAGAAGAAGAAGAAGAAGAAGAAGAAGAAGAAGAAGAAGAAGAAGAAGAAGAAGAAGAAGAAGAAGAAGAAGAAGAAGAAGAAGAAGAAGAAGAAGAAGAAGAAGAAGAAGAAGAAGAAGAAGAAGAAGAAGAAGAAGAAGAAGAAGAAGAAGAAGAAGAAGAAGAAGAAGAAGAAGAAGAAGAAGAAGAAGAAGAAGAAGAAGAAGAAGAAGAAGAAGAAGAAGAAGAAGAAGAAGAAGAAGAAGAAGAAGAAGAAGAAGAAGAAGAAGAAGAAGAAGAAGAAGAAGAAGAAGAAGAAGAAGAAGAAGAAGAAGAAGAAGAAGAAGAAGAAGAAGAAGAAGAAGAAGAAGAAGAAGAAGAAGAAGAAGAAGAAGAAGAAGAAGAAGAAGAAGAAGAAGAAGAAGAAGAAGAAGAAGAAGAAGAAGAAGAAGAAGAAGAAGAAGAAGAAGAAGAAGAAGAAGAAGAAGAAGAAGAAGAAGAAGAAGAAGAAGAAGAAGAAGAAGAAGAAGAAGAAGAAGAAGAAGAGAAAGAAAAAGAAAAGGAAAGATAAAAAAAGTTGGAGAAAAGGCGAGGACGAGGAGGAGGACGAGGACGACGGCGACGACGACAACGACGACAACGACGACGATGAGAAGAAAAAAAAAATAAGAATGATGAGGGCTAAGAAGAGGAGAAAGAATGCAGCGGATGAGCGCCAGCCAAAGCCATAGTGACTCCATGGAAACGAAGGAGGCAAAGTGCACACGACTCACACGCGCCGACCTACATAAGCGATTTTGGGAGGGGTAGGAAATAGCGGCCGGGTCTAAAAGATCGGCATTGACATCGATTTTGTGTGCGAGGCTGGTCTTTAAGGAATTGAGCCGTCGTGAAATTAGTGCGCTTTTCACTCGGACCCTCGAGCGTCCGAAAATTTTTTGGCTTCTCGCCCATTATTCCACCGCATTCGGACTATTCAATGCGGAAGAAATTTACTGCGATTTCATTTTCGGGTCGTCGGTAGTGCGACGGGCGGCGAGGGGGTGGGGGACAGAATCGTTGGTTGCGTAGCTTCGTTTTTGCTTCTTTTTTTCTTCTCTTCTTTGAAATTGTAACTGTATTCATCGACATGGCTATTTACCGTTTGTTACATCGTGCCAAGTGAGGGTGAAATTATGTTTGAGCATTATCCATGCCATTCCATCCATTTAACATGCTATCGATTATTTTTTTACAGAAAACTGGGAGCCATAAATTTAAAACTATTGTTAAACATGGAAATTATTCTACCCGATTATATTCGGGGTAAGTATGTGTTAAAATGCGAACGTCTATATCTGGCTAAATATTTTTATACAATTTAAGAGCTTTACAAATAGTGCCACAAGATAGTAATTTTTTGTTAGTAAAATTGACAGTTAGTAAGGAAGCTTAAATTAGTTTTGAAAATTTGCTTCGAACAATGTTTGATAAAGTCATGAAGTAATATCGAGATGAATTTTTGTCAGAAATTTATATATATATATATATATATATATATATATATATGTGCGTATCGCTAGGCAAGATGAATAAAACGATCTTTTGTCATGGTATTTGTGGAATATTGTAAAGCAAGAACGATTAATCGCTACATCGAATTAATATTAGCCTATCGTAAAGTCTCCATGAACTTTACAAGATCGAGATTCATGCGTTTAACTAGGACCGATGTATCAGCGAAACAATGCATCGTATTAAGAAAATCGATAATGCAACAAAAGGTGCGATTGTCCATTATAGAAAACGAATGGGAAAAGCAAAATACGCAAAGGACGCGCAACTCGTCTAACAAGACTAACCAATCGTACGAATCACCCTTACATCTAAAACTCTCTATTCGA